TTGAAAATAAAGTTTACTTTCATAATTTTTTTATATAAATTATTAATGAAAAATAATAAATAAACTCTTAATTTATATCATAAAAAATCAAATTTAAAAAAAAAAAAAGCACACTATTATGAAGATTCATCAAGTGCATTTTTTAAAAAGAATTTTTTTAATTTGTATTTTAGGAGTCTTCTTTTATAAAAATGTATATAAAAAAATAAAAATTAATTTTAATTTTAATATCAAAGAAATTTAATCAGATAATTAATAAATTAAGAGTTAATTTTTATTTTTTAACATAAAATTATCACAAAAATATAATATATATATTTAATCTATGTAATAAAAAAAAATTAAATAAATCCTTTTTTTTTTCTTTTTTTTCTTTTTTGTATTCAAGTTTTGTAATCCAACAGCCAACTACATGGTGATACGTTGCTAATGCACTTCTGATGTGTATTCAGTTGATTGTCTGCTGAAATAGCAGTCAACGGCGGTGAGTCATTACTCCACTATAAAAGGAGAATATGGAAATACGGATGGACCAATCCAGAGTTCGCCGCCTCTTCTCCTTCACTCGTGCACGAACCAGACACGTAAAGATAGATTCCGATTCCGATCGAAGGAGGAGGAAAGCTTCGGTCTTGTCGGCAGATCCAACGGCGTAGAAGGAAAGGGACAAGAATCACAGCGCTCACCACAAAAAGAAGAGCAAAATGTCATCCGGCCAAGTCAAGGCATCTCACATACTGATCAAGCACCAGGGCTCTCGCAGGAAGGCCTCCTGGAAGGACCCCGAAGGTCGTGTCATCTCCAACACCACCAAAGAGTCTGCCATCTCCCAGCTCAAGGCCGTCCGCGAAGACATCGTTTCCGGCAAGACCAAGTTCGAGGAGGTTGCGTCTCGCTACTCCGACTGCAGCTCCGCTAAACGTGGCGGAGATCTCGGTCAGTTCCCTATTCCTCGAGGCTACTTATTTCGCCTTATTTTCTGTTTAGTTGCTGAACTTGCTGAGATTGAGAGTTTGAGATGGGTGTATATTGATTCTGGAGATTTCTTTTAGTCTATTTTTAGAAACAGGACAACTAGGTTCATTTTCAGTTTCTGTATGCTTAGTGATTTTCTGATTGTTGCCTCTGAATATTAGGGTTTTGGTTGATTAAAAAAAGAAGTCACAAATTAATAGAGGAACTGCTATTTTATAATTTGTGTATTTAGATTATTGCTGAATGATTAAACCTTGAATTAATTGTTCAATAATTTGGTAGATTTTATTAATAAAGTCCAATTTTTGCAAGGTTTCTCTATCATATTGCTGCAAGAGTTTGAAATGTATTAACTTATTGCATTGAGCTTCTGAATGACAATTTCATTGGGTTATTAAGGCTCTAAAAACTCTGTTAATCTCTATTGAGTTCGAATTTATATGGTTGAGTGGCTTATTCTTATTGGTTTACGAACATAATCTATAAACCCATTTGCTTCTGCCAAAAGCCTAGCAGCTGCTAGTGACCTAAACAACTGATAAAATCAGCATTTCCCGGAATTTGCTTATGTTGACCCATTTGAGGGAACTACTTAATTTTGTGCGGGTTGGAGGGTCTACCACTCTACCTTATTTGGTAGAGGAAACTTGATTCTTACCACACTGAGGTTACTTAAGCTCAAAGCACATACATGCATGTTTCAGTTGCATGTATCTCTCGATCTCTTTTGTTTTATCTGCATCTCCATTTTGTTCTTTCTCCCTTTGTTTGTCATCCTTGCATTTCTTGACATCAAGTTTCTTTGTCTCAATTCCTTGTTCTGTCAAGTCTTTAGTCATGGCTGCATATGCACAAGTAATGTACCAATTTTGGATTGAGATCTATGACTAAAATGAGTTTAGGTTACTTTGCATCAAGGAATAAATACTGTTTTGGTCTAAAGAGAACTGTTTTCAATCTATGATGCAGGTCCTTTTGGTCGTGGCCAGATGCAAAAGCCCTTTGAGGAAGCAACTTATTCTCTTAAGGTTGGAGAGATAAGTGACATAATTGAAACTGACAGTGGAGTTCACATCATCTTGAGATCTGGTTGATCATCGATTAAAAGGCTTGGGATGAATTGAGCAATTTCTTCGCTGTGATGAGCAAATTTATCCATGACTATCTTAGTCTTGGTTTTGTTTCTGTTTGGGACAATATAGAAGTGTCTTGTGAGCCTTTGCCCTTAGGCCATTGTTATGATTTCTAATGTTTTTTACTCACTGTTTACTGACCTATGCTACACCTCCACAGGATGAACATTTTGGTTGCTAAGGCTTTTGATTTCAGGACCTTTTTTTCGCTGTGTTTTGAAATTTAAATCATAATGATAATTGGCTGTGTTTTGAAATGTTTATTATTCATAATGATAAAAACATTTTACTGTCTCTCTCTAAACTCTTTGTATTTAGCCGTTCTGACTTCTTGCTCTGATAACAATGGAGTTAGAAGAGCTTTTCTTGTCTCCGACGTTGAGTAATGTCTTGTTTCTTTGTGTTGATGTAAGATATACGGCATAATGTTCTTAACATTTAGTTACACGGCTATTTAAGAATTTCTGGTTTGCAAATTCAGATGCCTTTTGAAAAAAAAAAATGTACTCTCTTGCTCTTCGCTCTAATAGTATGTTCTTCACATTTTTCAGAAAGAAAAATTTTCTTTCCCGGGACAATTTCATCCTTTATATTCATTTCTTAAAACAACTATTATTTTCTTAACTCACAATTTGTTTTCTTCATTTCTTAAAATAAATAAAATACTTTTTTTATTTCAATTTTATTGTTATCTTCTAAATTCAAATATCTAACTGTGAAATCTCTCTTTATTTATTTTCAAAAATAATATACATAAAAAGATAAACTGTCTTCAAATCATTAGTTGGGAAAAAAAATCTTTTGGGACAGGAAGAGCATATTTTCTTCATATTAATTACTTACCAAATATATATATATATATAAATGATAATCCAACCAAACTTCTTTATTTTATTTTCTCCAAATTTGTCCGTACCGT